TTTTTTCACCTATTCTCTCCCAACTTTTTCTTTGTTGCTGTATTATTTTAAAGCAAATCCCAGATATCATGTGATTTGAACTTTAAATACTTAGGACTACATCTCTTCACTCATAAGGACTTTCAGTTTTCAAGGTAACCACTGGGCCATTTTCATGACTAATGAAGTTAACAATGATATTTTTTTTTTTTTTTTTTGAGACAGAGTCTTGCTCTGTTGCCCAGGCTGCAGTGCAGTGGCATGGTATCGGCTCACTGCAACCTCCACTTCCCGGGTTCAAGCCGTTCTCTTGCCTCAGCCTCCCAAGTAGCTGGGATTATAGGTGCACACCACCATGCCTGGCTAATTTTTGTAATTTTAGTAGAGTTAGGGTTTCACTGTGTTGGCCAGGCTGGTCTAAACTCCTGACCTCAGATGATCTGCCTACCTTGGCCTCCCAAAGTGCTGGGATTATAGGCATGAGCCCACTGTGCCTGGCCAACAATAATATCTTAATACCATCCGACACTGAGTTCATAATCAGATTTTTCCAGTTATCTTGAAACTCTCTGTTCTTGTCCCTCTCTTGCCTCTCTCTCTCTGCCTCCTTTTGTGCCTGGCACCTTGGATTCCCTGTCTCTGCCCTGTCCCCTGATATCCTGTCTATGCTTCTCTTGGATTTGGGGGCTCTCGGCTCACTCTCCTCTCTTCCCACATCCTTCTCCAGCATGGGAGCTAGTGGGTGGAGGGAAGTATGTCTGTGAGCAAGAGGAGACCCCTGTCCTCGGGGAGATCCCAGGCCGGTGGGGCAGGAGAATAGGGCAGGGCCTGCTTTAGTGGGAGGGCTGGAGAGTGGGGGTGACTTGTCTGTAGCCTTTTGTCAGGGGGCCCTTGGAGGAGGCAGGGCCTTGGAGGCTAGGCAGGCCCCTACACCCTCCTGCTTCCCCTGCCTTCTCTCCCCAGGAGGACACACGGGCTCAGCGGCAGCGGCTGCAGAAGCAACTGACTGAGCATCTGCGCCAAAGCTGGGGCCCGCTTGGGGTCCCCACACAAGCCCGAGACTTGGGAGAGCTGCTGCAGGCCTGGGGTGCTGGGGCCAAGACTGGTGCTCCTAAGGGGTCCCGCTTCACACACTCTGAGAAATTCACCTTCCATCTGGTGGGTGTACCTGTGGACATGGGATGTGCTGATGGGCGTGGCAGGCTTGGAGGGTGGCTTTTTGTATAAGCACCACCCCTTTATCCACACGGGGTCCTGTGTTCCCACTGGACAGGCCCTCACCCCACTGGGGGGTGGGTACCCAGAGGGGTCCCCTAGCTTCGCAGGGACTTGACTGGAGACAATGTGGATAGGTGGGAACCATGCAAGGGTATGAGGGTGTTCTTAGGGCAATATCCCCTTTCCCTAGGCAGTTTCCTCTGAGCATATCTTCTCTCCTAAGATGTCCACTTTGAGGGGCCCCCATCCTTCTCATGGGCATTTGAGGCTTGAGATATGGGGCAGGTAGGTAGGAGCTGTATCTGGGTCAGGGAGCTTTTTCCACAAGCAAGCACTCCGGCCTGGGGTTGCAGGTGGTGCCTTTACCCTCAGAGTCACAGGCTGCCATCAGTGGTTGAGTGGGCATGCAGCACCAGGGGCAGTTCTCAGGGGAGGCTGAGGCTGGTTGAGGAAGGGCCTTCCCTGACAGCCAGGATGCCCCTTGTCACTCCCTCAGGAGCCCCAGGCCCAGGCCACTCAGGTGTCAGATGTGCCGGCCACCTCCCGGCGGCCTGAACAGGTGAGCAGAGCGGGGTAGAGGGGTGGTATCTCAGCCCCTTGCTTGTCTGCTGAGCCTGATACCCCAACCCTGACTGGCCTGGGCCTCCCAGAACATGTGGGCAGCTCAGGAACAGGAGCTTGAGTCCCTTCGGGAGCAGCTGGAAGGAGTGAACTGCAGTATTGAGGAGGTTGAGGCCAACATGAAGACCCTGGGCATCAGCTTTGTGCAGGTGAGGGGCGGGGCAGGGGCTGCGCTTTGGGGTAGGTCAGAAGGATGGCCTCGGGGTGTGAGGGACTAGGTGGGGCAAGAGGTGCTCTGTAGAGGTCTGCGAATGGCAGAAGGGTTCCTGGGAGCTGTTGGGGATCTGTGGGGCTCTTGAGGGTGGCTGTGAGAATCAGGCCAGGGTGAGGGTCTGTGAGCATCTGTGGGGCACTGTGGGCCTGCACGGGCAGGGGATTGGGGGGTCCTCAGAGGGTCTGTGGGCATCTGTGGAGCACTGTGGGCCTACATGGGCAGGGGATTGGGGGGTCCTCGGAGGGTCTGTGGGCATCTGTGGGGCACTGGGCCTGCATGGGCAGGGGATTAGGGGATCCTTGGAGGGTCTGTGGGTATCTGTGGAGCACTGTGGGCCTGCATGGGCAGAGGATTGGGGGGTCCTCGGAGGGTCTGTGGGGATCTGTGGGGCACCACAGGTCTGCAAGAACAGGAGATTTGGGGGGGTCCTTGGGGTCCTTGGCACCAGCATGGAGCTGTTAGAGAGGCCTGCGGGGGTCACAGGGGTGTATAGTCATCTGTGGAGCTCCATGGGGGCTGCGGCGTGTGACCGGGTATCTGTGGGCCAGGCAGAGTCTGAGTGCCGGCAGAGTGAGCTCAGCACAGTGGAGCGTGAGCAGGCCCTGCGCCTGAAGAGCCGCGCAGTGGAGCTGCTGCCCGATGGGGCCGCCAACCTTGCCAAGCTGCAGGTGGGTTTGGGGCTGTGGCTGGGCAGGGAGGGGTAGGGTGGGGTGGGGCGGGTTGGAGGGCCCAGCCTGTGTGACACATACCCACCCTCCACCAGCTTGTGGTGGAGAGTAGCGCCCAGCGGGTCATCCACTTGGCGGGTCAGTGGGAGAAGCACCGGGTCCCACTCCTCGCTGAGTACCGCCACCTCCGAAAGCTGCAGGATTGCAGAGAGGTAAGCAGTGGGGCCCTGGGCTGTGGGTGGGCCAGGGCAGGCTGTGTCCCTCTGTAGGTGGCCATCCCTGTGCTCTGCACACTGTTTTCTGCCTGTGGGCTTCTGGCAGCTGGAATCTTCTCGACGGCTGGCAGAGATCCAAGAACTGCACCAGAGTGTCCGGGCGGCTGCTGAAGAGGCCCGCAGGAAGGAAGAGGTCTATAAGCAGCTGGTACGGCCTGTGTGAGGGACCTGGGTGGCTTAGGAGGGTGAGGGGTGGGTCCTGGGGGAGTGCCTGCTATGTCCCTACCTAGGTGTCAGAGCTGGAGACTCTGCCCAGAGATGTGTCCCGGCTGGCCTACACCCAGCGCATCTTAGAGATTGTGGGCAACATCCGGAAGCAGAAGGAAGAGATCACCAAGGTACACTGCCAGGGCCATGGAGGGTGGGTCGTGTGGGCTGTCAGGCATAGTGTGGCGGCACGGGGACCTCACACCCCCAGGTAGACAGAGCTGTCCAGCCACACCCTGACACAGAACAGTCACACGCAATCCATCCCAGTCACCCCTGATGATGACACAGTCCCTGTCTGCTGCACATGAGCACCCTCTACTGCCAGCCACCCTGCCCCAGGCAGGGGCTCATGGCTACCATGGTGTCTGCCAGATCTTGTCTGACACAAAGGAGCTTCAGAAGGAAATCAACTCCCTCTCTGGGAAGCTGGACCGGACGTTTGCAGTGACTGATGAGCTCGTGTTCAAGGTGTGGGGCAGGCTGGGTGGGGGTGAGTGGGGTGAGGCTGGGCTGCTGCCTGTGCATCTGCTCATGGGCTGGCTGGGGTCCAGACCTGGGCCCCGTGCGAGGCTGGAGGTGCATTGATGCCCAGGGCTGGCTTTGTTCCATGGAGGATGAAGCTAGTGGGGCTGTGGGAGAGGGTGGCCTTCTTGGGGCATAGAGATGGTCGGGGGCAGCCCACTGATATCTTCGAGGTCCCTGTGTCTGGTCAGGATGCTAAGAAGGATGATGCTGTTCGGAAGGCCTATAAGTATCTAGCTGCCCTGCACGAGGTGAGGGAAGTGTGCCTGGGGCGGGGCCACTGGGGGTGGGTGGGGCTGGGTGCAAGCCTTTTTCCTGTCCCCAGAACTGCAGCCAGCTCATCCAGACCATCGAGGACACGGGCACCATCATGCGGGAGGTTCGAGACCTCGAGGAGCAGGTGAGGCCTGGGAGCAGGATAGGGAGCCAAGGCAGACCAGGGAACAGTTCCTCAGGTTATGCTGAGAGAGGCCGTGAAGCCAGACACAGCCTATGGTCAGAAGCCCAGCCCTGCCCCCTAGTGCCTGTGCCTGTGACCTAGGACAGGCAAGTGGCCTACTGTGAGCCCCAGCTTCTACCCCAAGGGCCCTCCTGCCTGCTTCCCAGGGCCATGAACAGAGGCTTCAGCTTGAAGACGTAGGGGGAATCCTGCCAGGTGGTGAAGGATGCTTTGGGTGGAGGGAACACCACGTGAGAAGGCCTGGGCATGGGATAGAGCAGGCTATGGTTGGAGGCGGTGGGAGGGGCCCAGAGCAGGCTATGATGGGGGCTGGCGAGCAGGAGCTGGGAAAGGGGCTGTGTGTGCTGAAAGGGCATGTATTCACGTTGCCTCAGATCGAGACAGAACTGGGCAAGAAGACCCTCAGCAACCTGGAGAAGATCCGGGAGGACTACCGAGCCCTCCGCCAGGAGAACGCTGGCCTCCTGGGCCGGGTCCGGGAGGCCTGAGGAGCCGCCAGCAGAGGTCTCTCCCCAGCCTCAGGCAGGGATTTGGGGTGCTGGAGGCAGTGGCCAAGCACTTGCCCTCGCTACTCCCTCTGCTGCCCAGTTCCTTCTGCTGCCGCCTTGGACCCAGACCCCTGCCCACTGACCACAACCCTTATCTGGGGTGATAGTCCAGCATGTGAGGAGCTCAGCTGCAGTTTATTGGGGAGGGTACTGTGGGTTGGGGGCCTTGGATCCCAAATAAATGAGGAGTTCCTCTGCAGTCTAAGCTGAGGCATGGATCAGGGCTCAGGGCATGGGAGTGAGGTGAGTGGCAGGGGAGACAGGGTATTTTTGGCAAGTCAGTGTGTGTGGCTATGTGTGTCTACATGGGACTCAACAGACCCACTGGGGGGCTGTGTGTGTGCACATGTGTGAGATATGCAGGTGAGTTCTAACAGGCCATGTGTGTGACCGAGCATGTGTTGGGAGCTGCATGAGACCTTGTATGAGCAATTATGTGTCTGTGTGGCTTTGTGGGACCTGAGATCCTGAGGGTGCTGAGGCTGCTTCTGTGTAGGCCTCTGGGCACACCCTCGTGTGACAGTGCCCCTGTGGGACCTGAGGCTGGCTGTGGGTGTGTGCCTTGGGGTATGTGGGTTGTCAGGGCCATGCTTGTGTGTGATTGTGTGATGACGCAGCTTTGAGGTTGTTCGAGTGTACTGAGGCAGACTCTCTGTGTTTTGGGATTTGTGTTGAGTGAGGGACAGGATTGTGATATTTTGTGTGTCTGTGTGACTTTTCCAGCCCTGAAGTCATCTGTGCGAGCAGCTGAGGCAGGCTGTTTGGCTGTAGGGCTCGACTGGGGGGGGTATCTGGGGTAGAGGTGGGGACTGGGGCTGAGACTGGGGCCCCCCGACCAGCCTTGGGGCAAAGGATATGATGGGGGAGGGGTGGCTGCCAATGGGGGAACAGGGGCCCTTGCAGGCAAGATGGTGGAAACCTCACTTCTCTTGGTCCCTGTGGGCACATCCAGGGCCTGTCATCCCTGTCCCCACCACCTCTGCCTCCCACCAGTTTGGCCCCTGTTTGTCCATCCTCCTTTCCTTGATCCTGAGGTCAGGGGCCAGGTGTAGGGTTAGAACACCTGCTGGGCCTCTGGCTCCGTTTCTTGCGGAACTCCAGCTCATCCACGGTCCACACAGCCCCCTTCTCGCTCTCCACTCGCACGAAGCACTTGTGCAAGCTCAGGTTGTGGCGAATGGCGTTCTGTGGAAGGCCAGGGACAGGGAGTGGGTGGGCGTCAACCTCTGAGGCCAGCAGCCGCCAACCACAACCCACCTCCCGATCCTCCCCAATGTGCCTATCAGCCCAGCCCCAGGCCTGTTCACTTCGAGCTGTGGTGGCACTTGAGGCCATCCCAGTCACCACCACCTCCAGAGGAGCTCACCTTCCAGGTGGCAGGATGGTTTCTGAAGAAGGCGAACATGCGTGTGAACCAGTGGTAGATCTCATTGAGTGTCCGCTGCTTCTCTGGAGCCTCCAGGATGGCCTGAAAGTTGGGGGGTGGGGTAAGGGGCATGTTCCCCAAAGTTGGGGTTTAGAGGGGCTGTGACCTACCCTGAGCCATCTGACATGGGGGTGGAATTGTGGGGGCAGGTGATCAGGGACAGGACTAGATGTGGAGTGAAGCACGGAGTCAAAGATGGTGTTAGAAAAGGGGTAAAGTGTGGGGCCGGGCAGGGTTCAATGTAGGGTGTGGGTATGGTTGTCTGGGATTAGGTAAGGGATCGGGGCTGAGATTGGGAGTGGGTCTTGTTCAGGGCTCGGGCTGGAGTGAGGTGAAAGGTCTGGGATGGAGTTGGAGCTGGGGTTCTCCATGAGGGTGACATTTCAGGGTTGGGGAAGGTGAAGGATCAGGAGTGGGGTCAAGGATTTGGAAGGGGTAAAGGGCCAGGCAGACTTAAAGGTCAGGGAAGAGGTGGGTTAAGAGTCAGGCTGGGAGTGGACTCAGGTGGGTCTAGGGGTGAAGGATGGGATGACATGGCTTTAGGTCAGGAGCCAGAGATGGGTCGAATTATCGAGTATCTTACATGTCAGGGACATGGTTAGGTGGTTAGGCTTGGGGCAAGGATGAGGTTAGTTGTGGGGTTTGGTGTGGAGTGAGGCTGAGGGTCAGATAATTTGATCAGTTTGGATTCAGGAATGGGATTACAGAGTTAGCGATGATGATTGCAGTAAGGTCATGAGCCAGGATGGGGCTAGGTTAGGGCTTCAGTTCAGAGACAGTTGGGGAATGTCTGGTATCATGTAGGGGTTATGTTCAGGTTTGGGGTTAGGTGTGGGGCTAGGATGAAGGTTCTGAGAAGGCATTGGGGAGGCTGAGATGAAGGAGTTGGGATGGGGTGATGAAGTTAAGGGTCAAATGGGTGTTATAAGGAAGGGTTGGGGATGGGGCCCAGCCGGGGGTGTATTGACATACTGGGGTACATTGGGACCAGGGAAGGAGATGGGGTTGGGTTGGCATAAAGGCAGGGGAAGGAGTTAGAGTAAGAGCTAGGGCATGTCCACGGCAAAGTGCAGAGATGGTATTAGTTTTGGGCTATTTTATAGGTCCAGGAGAGGGTTAGGTATGGGGCTGAGGTGGATATCTGGAAAGGGGTAGGTTTAGGGTCAGAATTTGGCATGCTCTGGCCTGGATGGTGGTTTAGGTTTGGATTCGAGGACAGGATCCTCTGTGAACCACTGTTTAGGGTGAAGCCAGGATGAGGGGTCACATTTGAGGCATGGCTTGGGGCTCCTTTGGGCTGGGGCTTGGAAATGGAGAAGCCCACTCCGAGGGCACTCAGAGAGACACAGGAGTTCGGGAGGCAGGTCCCCCACCCCGTCTTTCTCTTCCTCCTCCTTGGGGCTGAGCTGCTTTGCTTACCCAGCGGATGAGCGTGGCGTAGGTGAAAGGGGGCCGCATGTTGTGGAACTTGAAGTAGTCCATGTTGTGGAGGAACTCTGGCAGAGGGTGGGGATGAATCAGGCCCCATGTAGGACCTCCTAGCTAGCTCCCTCTTCCCTCCCCCCTACAAGGTGAGTCTACAGGCCTGAGATCCCACCATCAACACCCGTGTCCATGGGCACAGGTACTGTCTGCTGAGCACCTGACATAAGTTGTATAATTTATTCTTTGTACCACTTCTGCCAAAATAGTTCTCCCCAAGGTTGAAAAGAAGCGGAGTAACTTGCACACTAAAGGGATGCAAGAGGTTAAATGGCAGAGCGGGGATGCCAGTCAAGGTCTCTGATCCCTGCTAAGCCCACAGGCCAGGCCTGGTGGAGAGCAGTGGATTGGTGAGCTTGGGTGAATCCATCCCAGTTTTCCTTAGTCAGGGGAGGAAAGAGGTGTCCCTGTAATTCCTTAGCAGGGCCCTCCCTTCTGATGACTGAATGGAGTAGCTGGAGTTCAGAGTGGGTGAGGCATGACCCCAATCCTCAACGGAGACAGGGCTATGGCAGGATACTTGAGACTCTATAGGGGGCTTTTAGGTCACGGACATCCTGAGAGGAAGCTTTTGTGAGCGGATGCATTTTCCCAAAGGCTGAGTGGTGGTAGCTGTGGTGGTGGTGGTGGGAAGGGGCAGTATGGAGCTCCTTTGCACCCTCCTCCCAGAGCCGGTCAGGATTAGGAGCTTGGGGGCACCGTGTAGTGCAAGGACTTCTTACCTGGGAATGTGCTGTTTCCATGGCTGCCCCACAGGTGCCTCCGCACAGCAAACAGGCTGTCGGGAGCCTCCCGGGAGCCAGACCAGGCTGGGACCATGCCGCCTTGGCTGCCAGCAGCTACAATGCAGCAGGAGGCCTTGTCAGATGACGCCTGAGAAGGGAAGAGGCTGGTGACCCAGAGACTTAAACTTCCC